GATAGAGCAAGCAGGAAGGAAACCAGTGAGGCTGTAGAGGACTCGGAAAGCAATGGGTTAACTGGGTCCGGGTGATAAAGATGCAACTTTGCATCCAATAGCTGCAAAATACATTTTCTTTTTAAATATGTAAATGTAGCACTTACCAACACGGATCAAATGCTGGGCCACAAAGCAAGTTTCAATCAAGTCAAAGAATTGAAATCATATGGGACACATTCTCTGACCATAGGGAAACTAAGTTAGAAATTAAAACCAAAAATATAAGAAAAGCAATTCAGTCCTAAACAGCCCATAGTTCAGAGACATCACCATAGAAATTAGAAAATGTTTTGAACTTAAGAATAAAATAATTCAGCTGGGCTTGGTGGCTCAGCCCGTAATCCCGCGCCTTGGGAGGCTGAGGTGAGTGAATTGCCTGAGCCCGCGGGTTCAAGACCCACCTGGGCAACTTGGCGAGACTTCATCTCTACAATAAATCAAAAAATTAGTTGGCTGTGGCAGCGCACACCTGTAGTTCCAGCTACTTGGAAGGCTGAGGCAGAAGGATCGCCGGAGCCCAGCAGGTCGAGGCTGCTGTAGCCGGGAGCGGCCACTGCACTCCAGTCTGGGTGACAGAGTGAGACTCCAACTCAAAAAAAAAAAAAAAAAAGAATAAAATAATTCAACATACCAAAATTCGTGGGTGCAGCCCAAGTTGTGCTTTGAGGGCAATTCATAGTCTTAAATATAGAGACTTGAATGGAAAAAGGGCTGGCACTCAACAATCTAAGTATCCTTCTCAATAAGTTAGAAAAAGAATGGAATATTAGACTCAAAGGATATGGAGACAAATAAGGGGCAGGAATACAGAAATGTTAAGTTTCTCACTTTCTGTCCATCTCCCTTGCTGTGATGCAAACCCCTGGAGGAAAGGTGTCTGGTCTGGTTTGTTCATGGCTATACTACAAGTCCTAAGCCTGGCATAGAGCAGGAACTTGGATGATTTGATGCCATGAACTGTCTCAAAGAAGCAGGCTTTGCCAGGGGAGGATGGAGCCCATGAAGGCAGCGAGCCATGTGTGGTGGAATGAACCCCAGGCAGAGTCCATTTGTGCTTCTAGAGTCTGGCCCCCTCCCTTGGGAACTCCCACCTCCACCCCAAAAGCCCACAGTAGCCTGGACAGGGAAGGGACTGAGCTGGTGATTGGAGCCTGGCTCTCTCCATGATAGAGTCTCAGAACGCCCCCCACTGTTGTTCAAAGACCCTTCTATGCCCACAGGGAGCCCCACAGTGTCCTGCTGGGTGACACTTAGCCTTGTCCTGTCATTTGTCAGGTGCAAGAATAACCTGCAGTGAAAGGAACTAGAAGGACCAGGAAAGGAAATAGAAGGCCTGGGGGCAACAGGTGTGACCTGGGGCCTTTCTTGGGGGCTGGGGTCTAATATCTGCTCCCAGGGAATGGTGCTAGCCTCCTGCCCACCCTGCTCCCAGGCCCCCAGTCCCTGCCACCCCCAGAGAATGGGGATGGTGGCTCAACCTCCTTCCCTGAAGCACACCTGCCCAGATGAAGCAGCCTAGCAGACAGGCCCCTGCTCTCATCATTCCAGCCTCTCAGGTACATACACGGTTCTTACAGGACACGTGAGACACTGCTGCATGGCTTGTGGACAAGACAGAAACCCAGGAATGACACACAGCTTCAGCCCCAAAATCAAATTGTCCTCATTGTGACAAATAAACTTAAATTAAAAAATCAACAGAGAGCCAATGATAGCTGAGATGAACTGATACACAGAGACCCTAGATACGTCCTCATGAACAAAGAGGTGAACAGACTCAGGAATGAATGAACAGACTAATGGAAAACCTTTACACCACATGCCGGGAAGCCAGGGACTGTCCCTAATTGGAAAGCCATGCTAATTTCTCACTCCTTCTCTGGCCATGAGAAATATTCCCTGCTCTATTCCACCATCTCTCTGCAGAGGTCACTCTGTCTATCCTCCCATCTGCTAGATACTTTACTTGCAAAAATACCTTAATTTACTAATTAATAGCCATTTCTCCTCAGCAATGCATAATGACAGCTTCAGATAAAAATACCTTTTTTTTTTGGCCTGAGCACCCAAATGTGTGCCAGAACAGAAGCCCTGTTTTCTCCAACTGGGTTCTCTCCCCTCCCCTGGGGAGGGGCTTCAGCTGCAGCTGTGGTAGGTCCAGCGGGTCCAGGGCCTGAGACCCACAGCCCCTCCCGTCTCAGAGCACCCCAGCCCCTCCCCAGCTCTCTTTTCTGAGCCCCTCACGGAGCAGCCAGCAGAGGGCTGCCGCAGGCCAGTGGGGCAGGGGCTCCTGGGGGCCAAACTGGCCCCAGAGGGGAGGCAGGCGGGGCTGGGAGTGTGGTAGGCAGCTGAGGCAGCCCTTGGGTGGGCTGAGCGAGCCCCTTCCTCCCGCAAGGCCTGGTCAGAGCTGCGGAGCACCGAGGCCCTCTCCCGACCCTCATCTCACTGGTATGAGATGGGCAGAGCAGGAAGGGACTTGGAGAGGACATGTCTGCCCACCAGAGACCAGCCGGGGCTGTCCTGTCAGGGCATGGGGGCTGGGCCTGGGTGTCCTGAGCCCTGAGGAAACTACTGACCCCAACACCAGCCTCAGCCTATGCCTCAGTTTCCCTGTAAAGCTTGAGAAGTGCAATGCTTGCCTGGCCCAGGTGAGAACAGACCTGTGCTAGCATCGGGGCCAGTCCAGAGAGATGGCCTGCTCTGCGAGGCTCAGGGTCCATGGGAAACCAGAGTGGCCCTGCTGGTCCCACCCCCAGTGAGGCTCTGGCCTCAGGTCCTGTGAGTAGTCGGTTCTGCCATGAAAGAGGGAAAAACCTTCAAGTCCCTGCCCCCAGCCTTGCTGTACAGATGAGAAAACAAAGGCCCAGGTGGGTCACATGACACAGGGGCTGGCAGGAAGGTGCTCCTGCCAAGCTGCTTCAGGGCCTGCAAGAACAGCCATCTCAGCCCTCCGTGGTCTCCTAGCAGTCAGGACTGTGTGTGGCTCTGACCAGGACTCAGCCTGCTGACACCCAGCACCTGAGGAGGAGCCCCATGCCCCCAGGGGCTCCCGGAGGGCTTGAGGGACCATCTGGTGCCTGCCCGTGTGTTCTGGGCCCCAGCTGCTGTGATGTGCCTTCAAGATGAAGCGACCTCAGGGACAGCAGGGTCTACCAAGCTCCTGGTCACAGTTGACCCTGTGTTTGGGTGATGTTCTGGGGTTGAAGCCTCCGCCCTTCCGAAGCCCAGCTGTGAGGGGTCACTGGGCCCTCTGCACCCTGCAGCCTGCAGACCATCCGGCCCGGGCTGTGGTGAGGTCCCTGAGACGTTTCTTAATACAGGCAACAAAGGATAACTCACTGGAAGGGACACTGCTGCCACCCTCGGCTCCCATCAGCAGCTGTGCCAGGAGGTGCCTTGGTCTCACCCCGGCCCAGGGTGCAAGCCTCCGAGTGGGTGGGCCTCCCCAGCTGAGCCCAGCTCCTAAGACCCAGCCCCAGCCCGTGGGGTGGTTTGTCCTGCTGGGTGGTGACTGTCCTGCTGTGTGTTCTGCCTAAACACAGGCACAGCTGTGTCTGTAAACCAGGGAAGGCCCAGTGTGAGCTGAAGTGCCCAGTCGTGACCCTGGAGGCACACACGGCCCTGCCCTGTGCTCTGACACTGAGCCCACAGCCACACACAACCTCCAGGCCAGGTCTGACCTCTGATCTAAACAAAAGACTGACCTCTGGGCCCCACTGTGCACCTGGGTTCTCACACACAACTTGCACGCAGTCCTGTAAATTCACATTTGCCCCAGGCTGTGTCCTCAATAAGGGCATTTTCCCAGCCTCACCCCTGAGATCCTGAAAGCTTCCTTCTGGTTTGGGGCCCTGACCTCAAACCTAGGGGTGGTGAGCACAGACAGGCCCAGCAGTCTACACCTCTGCCAGCTGGGGGACACCACACCGGATACAGGACGAGCCACGGCACACGTCAGTGGTTCTCAAAACCCACGTGGGACCAGGGACGTGGCACCTCTCCCTGAGAAGGGCAAAGATCAAGACAGGTCTTGTGTCCAGGCTATGACTTGGCCAGCAGGATGGCACTGGGCAGAGAAGCCGGAGCCCAGCGGCCCCTCATGGGGGAGGGAAAGTCTTGAGGCAGGGTCTTAGAGAGGGTCTTGGGCACCTGTGCTCCACAGAGGGCACCTGTGCTCCACAGAGGGCCTCCTGGGACCCCAGACAAGAGCTGCAGGTGAGGAGACTCAGGCTCAGGGCTTGGGCCTGCCCTGGGGTGAGTGCTGGAATGAAGTGGCGGGGCAATCCCACTGGCCCCAAAGCCAGAGCCCATGCATGCTCCAAGACCCTTGTCTCCCACAAGTACTTCCAATCCCAGGCTGTGGGTGCAGCACTCCCTGCGCAGGGTAGACAGAGGAGGAGGGAGGGCTGCCCCCCCACAGCATTCTGTGCAGGTTCTGAGTCAACAGTGCCAAGCGCAGGGGCTGAGATCCAGGCTGGGCGTAAGCAGTGGTGCCCTGGGCTCGGGGAAGAGGGCGAACTGTCCTTTTGTTCCTTCACCCGACTGGAAGCTTGCAAAGATGCCCAACACCCCGTCCTTGAGGGTGGGACCCATCCATTCCTGTTTCTGGAAGGCTCCAGGTGATCACACTTAACGGTGGGGAGGGGATCTCCTGTGCCCTGGTCCCTCCAGCCCTGGGGGACACAGCAGCAACTCAGGCTTGGAGCACCTGCAGGGCTGAGGTGGGGCCGGCTTCTCCCACAACAGGCTGGGAACAAAGGGTCATTCTCTGTGCTCAAGGACTGTAGAATCTCAGGGCGAGGTGGGGAAACGGACATGAGGATGTGAGTGTGGGCCTTGAGATGATCTGAACAGGCTGGAGGAGAGGGAGAGCGCGCGCCAGACCCACGCCTGGCTGCTCCGGAGGCCCTCGGGAGGTCTCTAGCCCAGGAGAGAAGGACAAGGCAGGTCACACAAGACCCTAGAAAACGACTTCTTTTACTATTAAAACGCAGCCACAGTCTGGGACCATGTGTTCTGAGCACCTGCCTCTGGCAGGGCCAGGCAGCTCCTACCTGGCCCCACACGAGGTGCCCACCCTCAGCCCTGTGCCAGCCTCAGGCCCTCCATCCTCCACCTTCCATCCCTCGCCGGTGTCCCTGTCATCCTCATTGTCACTTGGCACTCAGCGGGGTCCCCTGTGTTGCTCCAGCAGCTCCTCCAGGTGGTCAGCTCGCTTCACTGCAGCCTGCAACACACCCGCTGGGGTCAGGCCTGTGGCCACTGGGGCCATCAGAGTCAGGCAGGGCCAGGCGTGGGGACCCACCTCGTGCTGTGTCCGGAGGCTACTCACGGCTTCCTCCTTCTTTGCGAGGGCCATCTTCACCCTGTGGGTGGTGCACAGTGGGCTTCTACACAGCGCCTGCCCCTTGGCCGCGGGCCAGCTTGCAGCTCTCGGGGCCACCGGGGGCAGCCGCCTGTCAGTCCCACCCTAGCACTGCTAGCTGCAACTCCTGTGGCTGAACTGACCCAGGCCCTTTAGGCCGCAAATGCCGAGCCCATGCCAGCCTCTGCCCATGGGGCCATCTCTGCATCACCCAGAAAGAAAAAGTGCGGGTGTCTACTCACCAGTCCCACTTTCCTTGGGTTAGAGCAGCGGGTGACCGGCCCGCCCCCAGCCCTACCCTTGACTCCAGCTCCAGCACCCACCTCCGGTGCACCTCCTCCAGCTCCAGCCGCTGGCGGGCCTGCAGCTCAGCCAGCTCAGCCTTCGCCCGCTGCAACTCCTGCTCGGAAGCTGCCAGCCGGTCCTCAAACTCCCGGCGGATCACCTGGGCCAGGCTGCTGCGCTCCCCGTTCAGCTGCTCATTCACCTGGGCGGGCGCCAGTGGCGGTGAGAGGCCGCGTGGGGCTGTGCGGACTGGAGGATCCCAGGGCACCCGGGCCTGCTGCTCACTCACCGCCCGCAGGTCCTCCAGCTCCCGCCCCTTCTGCCGCACCAGGCCCTGCAGACGCACACTCTCCCCCTCAGCCGCCCCGAGCTGGCCCTTCAGCTCCGCGCACCGCTCCTGAAGCTTCCGCTCTGACTGCTCCAGCTCGGAGAGCTCGGCCTCGTACTTGTCCCGAATGCGCTTGATGCTGGTGAGGGAGGGCAGGGTCGGAGGGCAGCCTGGACACACAGGTCCCTGTGCCCCCACTCCGACCCCCATCCCTAGCCTGCGACTCAGAGGTGCCCGCTTGCAGGGGGCCTCACCGGCCCTCGGCAGCCCTCTCGCTCTCCTCCTTGGCTAGCGTCATGTCAGCCTCCAGCCGGCGGATGACCAGCTCGATCTCCTTGTCGCGGCCTCTCCGGATTTCCTCCCTCAGCTCCTGTTCCCGGTTCAGCAGCAATGCCTCCTGGAGGGATACGCAGCTGACTCATGCTCACCACGGTGCTCAGCAGAACAGGGAGGGTGGAGGACGGGGAGGCCAAGGGCAGGGCCAGGGCAGTCTGATGGGTTCCCAGGGACGCTCAACTCTGAGCCACAGGGGAACAAAGGGTCCCTGCCCTGCCCCAGGCCCCTAGCCCTGGGAGGGGCCATGTCCTGTTATTAGGACCCAGTGTGATCACAGGAGGGGCATGAGCAGGACAGCCCCACAGGAAACCATGAGCACAGCTAAGAGCTCCCCTCCCTTGAAGACCAGTGGCCCAAAACAGCTGGACACCACCGTTTGCTGCCAGTTAGGCTAGGGTGAAAGGGGACTCGCCACATTGCTTGGGTGGAACCTGGCGGCCCCATGCTCAGACAACAAGAGTGTACATGGCAACCTTGTGGAAGCCATCTGGAAATTCCCACTGAGTTTTACAAGCCAAGCCCTGTGTCCTGCAGGCCCACATCAGGCCATGCTCCTCTGCCCAAAGGTGTTCACTGGAACAGGGGTTGTGGGAGCCAGCAGGCAGCCTGCCTGACCGCTGCTGGGGACATCCTGGTCTGCCAGGGTGCGAAATCAGGCAGACCAGTGCAGCCGGCCTGGACAGTTGCCTTGTGGGCAACACAAGTGGTCAGAGTGTGTGTGGGCCTGTGCGTCCCTCCCTGAGACACTGGTTGGGCAGCTGGCCCCCGCAAAAAGCCCTGGAAAGCTAGGGAGGGAGGCTTCCCCTGGTGTGTGCCTCTTTGCACGTCCGAGCGTCAGCGGGTTGGCTGTGAAGGGCATAGGCACAGCAGCCCCAGGGCGAGGACAATGCATGTTCTCTGACCACAGAGAATGCACCCAGGCTCCCTTAATCTTTCGGAGTCTACACAGAAGATGGTTGAGAGCAGCAAACACAGCGTTCACTCAGAAAAATGCAGCTGAGCACAGAACAGCCAGATGTGACCGCCCCAGAAATGAGCCCTCTGGGAGGGCACAGAGGCAGAGCCCGGCTCCCACCTCCTTCCTGGCGCAGCCGGCCTCCCACGCCTGCCTCTCCAGTTCCAGCTGGTCCTTCAGGGCCTTCAGCTCCATCTGGGGGGTGGAGGGTAAGAGCAGGCCCATCAGCCCCCCCCCAGTGCCTGTGGGGTCGGGCAGGGGAGAGCCCACCCCACCGACCCAGGCCCAGCACGGCCTCGCAAGGACACAGACCTGGTGCCGGCGCTCCTGCTCCTCCCTGCCCTTCTCAAACTCAGCCCTCAGGGCTCGGGTCAGTGCGGAGCTGCTCTCCTCCAGCTGTTGCCTCAGGTCCTCCAGCTCTGCCCGCTGCCTACAAGCCACCAAATAGTCAGCGAGCACAGGGTCAGGGACAGGGAGGTCAGGGACAAGGAGGTCAGCGGGTGAGAGGTCAGTGGGTGAGAGGTCAGCAAGCGCAGGGTCAAGGACAGGAGAGGTCAGTGGATGAGAGATCAGTGGGCATGGGGCCAGGGGCAGGAGGAGTCAGCAGGTGAGGGGTCAATGGATGAGGGGTCAGGGGTAACAGAGGTCAGCGGGCAAGCTGTCACTGGGAGAGGGGTCAGTGGCACCTGGTGGCCTGCTGGTCCAGCCTCTCTCTCTCCTGGGCCACCTCGCTGTACAGCCGTTGCCGCTGCTGCTGCAGTGCCCACTGCTCCTGCTCTAGGTGATGCTCAAACCTGAAGATGGTCAGAACTGGCTTACACGGGCAAGGCGGTCAGAACACTCATGCCAAGGGATATGGGCAGGCGCGGGCCTGGCCGAGAGCTTGGGAGCAGCCCTCCCCGTCCACCTGGAGTCAACCACCCCATAGCACTCAATGCCCAGCACAGCGACTGCCAGGGCAGGATCATTACTGGGCACATCTCCAGCCACCAGGCAATGGGCTCAGCCTGATCACACCTCAGACCTAGGGTCGAGGAAACAGATGAGAACTGTCCTCAGGCCCCAAGGCCACAGCTGGAGTCAGAGAGGCCTTGAGGCCTCCTGTCCAAGGGTTGGTGGCTTTGGAGTCAGGGATGAAACATCTCCAGGGGACTGTCTGAGGGACATCTGGTGGGGGTCACAAACCTGAACCCCAGGAAGACATGTACAGAGACTTGGTCACTGGGAGCTGTAGACACAAGCCCTGAGGTTAGTCCCCCACTGAGGAGGCCAGCTCTCATGGGTTGTTCCAGGACCACAGTCCCCTGCACTGTCCCTGGACATTGCACCGAGCCCTTGGCCCACCCTGAAGCCCCCAACCCCGGCCTTCAAAGATGCCCCATCACACAGCATCATTGCCTGGATGTTCCCACCCACCGCTGCCGGGCGCGCTCCCGCTCCTGCTGGCCCAGCGCCTCCTTCTCCTGCTCCAGCTGTGCCCGCAGCTCCTCGGCTTGGCGCAGGTAGCGCTGCGAGGCCCGCTCGTCCGACTGCAGCAGCTCTGCTTCATGCAGGCTCCGGAGCTTCCGCACCTCCTGCTTGTGCTTGGCGATCAGCTTCTGGATCTCGGGCTCCAGGCCTGCGGGTGGGAGCACCAGCTCTAGGGAAGCCCACCACCCTCGGGCAAGACCATTCAGGGCAGGACCTGGAAGCCCAGCCCTGGCGCAAGATGGTCCTGTCTCAGGCCTGAGCAGACCCCACACACCTGGGCCTTCTCAGGCTCCAGCCTGAAGCACAGCTGAGTCTGATGCCCAGACAGATGGGAAGAGGCAGGCGCTCATGCCCCAGGGTCTTTGTTCCTGGGGCAACTGCCCCTGGAGCCACCGCCAGGACCCATGGCCTCTCCCAGCCTGCAGTGCTTGGTACTCCCTCAGACAGTCCCCTGGAGGAAGGTGTCTGTCTGGGGCAAGAGACTCCTTCAGACCCCAGTGCCCACTAACCTGCAAGCCTTCAGTCCAGACTCCCCTGCCACCCCCCCATCCCTGCTGCTCTCCCTGCTCCTGCGGCAGGGCCTGGAGGCTGGAGTCCTTGCCCACTAGCTCTCCACTTCCTCAAGCTCAACCCCGAGGGAGTGGCAGGTGCTGATCTCCCTTCACTCAGGGTGCTGTGGCCTAGGTGCTGGGCCAGGTGCATGTCAGAGCCCCTAGGACCACAGCAGAAACTGCAGGGGAGGCCATGAAGGGGCGGGAGGGAACACTGAGTTTGCCTGTGTGAATGTGCGACTGGAGCCCTGGTCCTCTCTCCGAAGGATCCCCAGTGCCTACAACCCTTGCCCGCATCTGAGCAGTGCCCTAGTCCGGCTGCCCACCTCTCACAGTGATCTCCTTGATCTTTTTGGTTTTCTCATTGATCCACTTCTCCCGGCGGACTTTTTCAGTGGCGCTCATTAATTCTTTGAGTTTCTTAATCTCCTACAGAGCAAGAAGACAGGAGATCGGGAAGATGCAAAGAACACCCCTGCTCCTTTAATCCAGGTGAAACTGGGCGTCCAGTCCAGGAAGGCGAGAGTTCTCGAGTAAGTGGGAGCTGCCCCATGGTGCAGGCTACAGAGAGACTCTGTTGCGCCCCCAGCAGCTGGGGTCAAACTAGAGGCCTGGGACCCTGCTACACACCTCAATGTCTGAGAAATGGGGCCACCATGGGCCTGCAGAGGTCCTGCCCTAGAGGGTGTGCTGTCCTGCTGGGACGGCCCTGAGCCTGTTCTCTTGTGTGACCCACAGTCTTCAACCTTGATCACTGGCTTTGTGGGGAGGACTTTAAAAATGCTGGTGCCACCCCCACTCCAGAGTCTGGTCTCATGGACCATTGCCACTCATGCTGGTGAGAAGCACAGCCAAGCAGGTCAAGACCCATGGGGAGGCCACTTTTTAACCATCTGCAGCCTGGTTAAAGGGGCAGGGAGTCCATGCTTGATCGATACAAGTGAGGAAGAGAAGCAGGCCCCACTATCCAGGAACCCAGCACTGGGGCAAGCCGGGCATGGGCTCCTGGGTCCATGGCCACTGTTGTGGCCGGGTGGGGACTATGTGGCTTCATCTGTGACATGGGGAGGGGCTCACACAAGGTTCATGGCCCTGCCCTGGGCCTGGCAGCTAGAGAGGGAAGAGGGGGACGGCCTGATGCTGCGCTGATTCTGGGACTGCTGTTCACCACCCTTACCTATGGCCCTGATACTCAGAAGTGGGAATGAGGGTCCCTGTTGGATAGGTCAGGTCTATGAGTACCCCAGGTCTGGGGAGCCAGGCGAGAACAAATGGGCCTCACCAGCTCATGCTGCTCCTGCGCCTGGGCCACACGCGCCTGGCACCTCTGGTCCTCCTGCCGCAGCTGGGCCACCATGGCCTCACACTTCTCGTTCAGGACCTTCTTGTCTTCAATCAGCTGCGGCAGAGCTGGAGGTGAGGCGGCTGCACGGGAGCCCCGCCCCAGTGGGATTCTGATTGTGGGAGACCCCGCCAGACTCTAAAGGAGGCCGGGCCCAGGACAACGCCCCCCTGCCCCCCGTGCAGATCCACCCCCTCCCGGGTCTATGGATAGACCCTAGGGCCAGAGGAAAGGTGTGTGCGCCAATATGGACACAAAACTGCCACTGCTGCCTAGTTCTTGGCCTGAAGGACTCAGCAGATGTCAGAGAAGCTCCAGTAGGGACGGTGGCCCCAGTACTCCCTGCAATGACATCAGGGTCTTCCTGGGATGAGGATCACTGTCATCCCCAGTCACCTGGCTCCAGAGTGGGGCCTACCCATGGACTGGCAAGGGGTGTCAAGACCACACCAGCCTCACTGTGGGCCTCAGCCAGACCCAGGGCAGACACACCTATGATGACCACCAAACAGCCCCTGGTACCTTTCTACACAGACCCCAGACCTGGAGTTATCTCTGGAATAGGATAGACCTGGGGATGCAGCAGAACTGGGGGGGAAGGCTAGATACTCCCATCACCCTTACTCGGGGAGCTCTTCTATAGGCCAGGAGAGTCTCCCAGGGCATGAATAGTCCCGGAACAGCACAAGAAAGGCTCAGGATCTGTCCAGCTGGATACCTGTGTGACCCCACCTGGGAGCTCTGCTCTCCACCCATGCCAGCTGCTGGTGGCCACCTACCTGAGCACACCTCTGTGGGCCCTGGACCAGTGCCATCCTACAGTCAGCACCTCACCCCAGGGGAAGAACCTTGCCCTGTAATGGGGAGTCCCCCTGAGACACATGCTGGGTCTTGAGCCTGACCCTGTCCTGCACTTTGCTCCCATGTGGTTTCCGGGGTGGGTCACCTGGTCAATGAAGGCCAGGTGCCGCTGGATGGTGGCCTCGTAGTGCTCCCTTTGCCGCTGCAGCTGCCGGCTCAGCTCCTTCTCTGTCTCCTTGACCCGCCGGACAGTGAGGTCGCGCTGCTGGGCCTGCAGGGTGAAGGAGGGGAGCGCTGGCACCAGGTGGGCCCGGGCCTCTTGGGCAGGGTGCCAGTGGGGCCCACGCCCCAGTGGTGGCCCAGGGGAGTGCGCCAAGGTGTTACCAGGGCTTTCTGCAGCAGCACCATGGCCTGCCTCTTCTCCTCCACCTCCAGCTTCAGCCGTAACATGGATGCGCTTCCCTCAGATGCCAGTTCGAGGGGCCCCTGCCCTGCCTCCAGCAGCAGCCCCTGCAGACACAGTGGAGGATCAGGTAGCCAGTGCTGCTTGGCAGAGGATGGGGAGCGAGCTGGGCATGACAGATGACTGTGTTGCCCACCCTTCCCTGGGGAGCCCCACCCAGCTTTGCACCACTCAAGGGAGGAGCATCTACATGCAGGGGGGCCTGGCAGAGGCAAGGCAGTGGCTGGTCATTGACCCCGGCAGAGGTCATTGTCAGTACTCAGTACAGGGGATGGGCAAGAGCCTCAGGAAGCAAAAACAGACCCTTAAGAAGTTATATTCTGACCTTCCTGCCCTTGAGATAATACAATTCAGATTACAGCTCCACTTAGTCTGGCTACTGGTGTTCCCCCAGGACAGCCAACTGATGACCCAACGGAGGCCAGGAGTGCCCACTGGACAGGGCTTACAGAGGCTTGAGGTGTCTACCAGAGAGGGGCCCAGGGTAGGGCACATGGCCCTGCCGCCTCCACATGTCAGAGCCCAGGGTGGTGTGCAGCTAGTGGGGATGTGGGAGTGAACACTCCCTCTAATGCCAGGTAGAGGTGTGGCTGATGACCACCTCCCACTGAGGTGGGGAGGGGTGTGGCAGATGACCACCTCCTGCAGGGACCAGGTAGGAGCGTAGGAGTGACCACTCCCTCTAGGGCTGGATAGGGATTTGGGATTGACCACCTCCCACTGGGGCTGGGTGGGGCATGGCAGGTGACCACTCATGCTGAGGCTGGGTTGAGGTGTGGTAGGCGACCACCTCTTGCTGGGACTGGGTGGGGGCATGACGGGTGCCCACCTCCCGCTGAGGGTCAGGCCGGTCCTGCGCAGACTTCTCCATCTCGTCCAGGAAGCTCATGATGCTCTGTAGCTTAGCCTCTGAGAGCAGTGTCCCATCCTCAGGGGGCCCAGGGGGTGCACTGAGCTTCCCAAATTTCTCCAGGTTGTCAGCTGTCAAAGAGCTAGTGTCGTCCTCCTGTGGGATGGGGGCCCAGCATTGGGGGCTGTTGGGGCAGCCCCAGGACTCAGGGCTCATCTGGAGCCTGGCTTTGGAAGGATGGTCCCTCAGGCTGCCCCAGACCCTCATGGCATCGCTTGGAACAATGCTGGCAGAGAGCAGGTGCCCACCCCCTCTAGAGACCAGCGCCCCTGGGGTTATCCTGTGTCCTGACCTTAGGGAGGCCTCAGACAGGAGGGGAGTGCAGGGATCAACAGTCCTTTCCTGGCCCTTGTTAGGGTCCCCACTAAAGCAAGGGGGTCCCATTTCCCTGACCCCACAGCGACCCATGCTCTGTGTGGATGGCCCCAGCAGGTGGGCTGCGGCAAAGAGGGGGCGTTGCCATAGTCACCTCGTTGGCCCAGGCATATCTGCCCCGGTGACAGGCCCTGGGGCGGGGCAGTGGCTCCGGCTCCTGCTCCAGCAGCTGCAGTGTGTGCAGCAGCTCATCCAGTGGCCCCCTGGACCTGGACTTGCCCCGATGGGGGGCCACTGCCTCCAGGCCCTTCCTGGCCACATCCTGGGAGAGAACCTGCTGCAAGGGGCAGGAAGAGGGAAGCTGGCAAGGCTGCTAGTGGCTGAGAGCACCACACAGGCCAACCACACAGCCCCAAAGGCGAGGCCGAGCATGGGTTTTCTACCCGCTCTGCAGCTGCTCAAGCCCAGAGCAGCTCTAACTACCTGAGAACTCCTCCCAGCACTCCAGGAAAATAGGCAGGCAGGGCTGCCCAGCCACTGAGCAGAGCTTCTAGCTCCTCTTCTGTAGATGAGGACACAAGTCCCTAACCAGGGCATCTGTGAAAGCCCGATGGGATTCCAGAGCCACCTGGAAGACCCCACCCCAGCGAGGGTTCCCCACGGGGTCACTGCTTGGCATCAGAGCAAGAAGACTCCTCCTGGGTGGCCTTTCAGGGCACCAGTGACCAGCAGGGAAGGGGCAGAGAAAAGGCAGGCTGAGGATGCCCCAGCCATGGACATGCCCTTTGAAGTCAAAATATGGAAGGGAAGGATGTCTGTGCCCAGACCTGCAGCTTGTCCTCTGGAGACTGCTGGGGCTCTGGGGAGAAGTTGGAGACAGGTGGGCACAGGTCTGTGGGGCCTGCTGTGCGGAAGCCAGCACCTGCATAACAGAACAGCATTGTGCTATTGGGACAGTGACTCTGGAGGTGCCCTTGGGAAGAAGCCAGGCATGGGGGAGGCACAGATGACCCCACAGAGCAGAGGAGATGCTGGGGAGCCCAGCCTTATAGGTGTAAAGTCAAAGGGGGTGGCTGGTGAGACCCCAGACCTCTGGGCCCTCTGCTGTGTCCTGTGTCTAGTACTGCTCGTGTGTCAAGGTCTCAGGCAGGAGCGGAGGTGACCAAGGCCCTAATTCCATGGATGGAAGCTGCCAATGCAGGCAGCAGCAGAGGTGGCCCAGGGGTCATCGGCAGAGGCTGCACCTCCTTCCTGGCCCCCACCTGCCCGGGAAGTGTCCCTGGGGGATGGAGATGTCTCCTTTGGCAGTCAGTGCGCATGCAGTGATCATGGGATGGGGGCTAAGGGGCCGCAGGGAGGGGCGGCCAGGCCTCCAGAGTCGGGGCACCCAGAGCTACACCCACCCGCATTGTTGGCCTTGAGGGCCTGGCAGGCAGTACTGCCCGGAGGCAGTTGCAGCTCCTGAGCAGACCGAGGTGCTCGTGGTACTCTGGTCTCCCTGGTCCCCTCTGGGCGCCCAAGCTCAACTGTGCCTGACTTCTGGGCTCGTTTCTGCTGCAGCTCCTACGGTAGGGACATCGCCGAGTGATGCCCCTAGGAAAGAGCAGTCCCCATCCTCCCCGGCCAAGCTGCCCCGGGCTCTATGTCCAGGGGCCTGGGGAGTTCTCAGCAGTAGTGGTGCAGAGTCGTGCTTGGGCCACAGGAACTGCTCAGTGGCCCCTGTGTGGTCATCCTGGGCACCTGAATGGCCGCTCGCCTGGCCTGGCGTGCCTTCTCCTCTCGGGCTTTCTTCCGCGCCACCTCCTTCTGCTGGTGCAGGTCCAGAAGGGTCCCCTCGCCCAGTCGCTGCCACTGCTCCTGTCAGAGAAGCCGGAGCCACAGCGGTTTATATACCTGGAAGATGAAGTCCCTGAACCCAGGCAGGAGGCTTTCCCATGATGCCCAGGAGTCCCCTGGAGTCTGCAAATGACCGTCACCAGGACCCTGAATTTGCCATCTTTCTACTCTACAGAGGACAGGCACCATGCTCTAGGCGGCCAAGGGCTCCAGCAGTGGTGGACAAGGCTCTGCCCCACAGAGCATCCACCTGAAACCCTTCAGCCTGAGATGAACCCAGTAGGTGTTTCCTGATACCCAGGCCCTGAAGACAGTCATGAGGACCACTCTGCCCACCCAAGTGGATCCAGGGTCAGGGAAGATTCAGGGTCGGGGAGGACAGGGATGTGCCTATGGGGCACTTCCAGATTTCAGTTCTACTGAAAGGCCCAGAAATTCTGCCAGCAGGTCCAGCCCCTGGGGACTCTGGGTCAGCCCCTAGGGGAGCCCAGCGTGGCTCAGACACCACCTGACCTCTCGCTTGGCCTCCAGCAGGTGATCTAGGTTGGCAGTTCCTGCTCGGCGCCGCTGCATCTGGTGGCGATACCAGCGCTGGATGGTGATAGCAGCCTGGTTCACCTGGTGGATAAACCTGCCGGGATGGCAAAGCTCAGGGCCAAGGCAGGGCCAGTGCCTGTGTGGCCCCCACACCCCCCACGGGAACCAGGTGGCTACTGATGGAAGGCCCAGCTGGGCAGAGAGTAGGCGGTAGCTGCACACATCACCTTTTTCACATGGCTGTGACGTGGCAGCACAGCCCATCTGGACAAGCTCCATTTAAACCCAAATCTACCCTATAGGGAAGCTGCCTGGGGGAAAAAAATACCTATCCGTCCAGACTTGTGTGGCTTTATTCATGATTACCAGAGAGTTGAAAGAGCCCAAATGCCCATCGACTGGCGATAGCATGAGCATCCAGATGGTGGGACATTACCCACAAGCAAAGGGCAACCTGCCAGTGATGCAGCCAGCACAGGCCATAGGCCATGGCTCCACTTGTAGGGCCTTCTAGAAAAGGCAAGGCTGTAAGGGAACAGATTGCTGGGGCTGCTGGCACTGGGGCCAGGGAGGAGCTTAAGGGAATTGTGAGGGTGCTGGAATGTTCTGCATCTTGATCTGTTGCATAGCAGACACCATTACATACATTTGTCAAAACTCACTGACCTTTACCCTTAGAATGGGTACGTTTTATTGTATATAAGTTATACTCAACAAAGCTTACTAACAAAAACACCTTAACCGTGGCTCTAGGGACCATGTGTGGATTCATGTAGCAAAGGAACCCAGAGACCCCAGGACATACACAGTTACTGGCCACAAGGGACCCAGTTCTGGAAGTGTGCTCCCCAAGACGCCTGTCTACCCCTGCCCCCAAAGCACTCTGAGGGCTCTGAGGAACTGCTTGCTCCTGGTCTCTCTTCCTGGCTCCCTCCCTGCCACTAACCACGTCCAGAGCCTGGGTCCCCCTAGCCCTAACCAGGCAGCAGGGCAGGTGACCACTGAGCCGGGCAGAGGCTCCCAAAGTCCCGGTGGGCACCTATGGTGACTCTTCCAATCAGGATGAACCATCATGATCCAGGAGGCTCTGCTTGTGCCCACTCTCCAGCTCCCCAAGGGTAAGCGTCAAGGACACAACCAGTGGGTGTTTTTTTTTTTCAGTTTTGTATCTTCTTTCCCCTTAATGTTTTAATTAACAGTTTTACAGAGGTATAATTTAAATACTACAGAATCTACAATTTCCAGTGTACAAGTCTATGATTTTTAGCACATATACAGAGCTGTGTGACCATCAGCACAGTCCAATTCTAGAACATTCTATCACTCCCAAAGCGCACTCTCCTGCTGCCCTCTACCCACCAGCCCTGGGAAACCACTGCTGTACTTGCTGCCTTAAGACTTGCCTTTTCTTGGTGTTTTATATAAACCGAACCGAGCCATGCCATATGCAGTCTGCTCAGCCTCGATATTTCAAAACAACTATTAAATGGAAATTCCTATCACTGGAGTCACGGGCCCTGGTGTTCGGGCCTCAAGTCCCCCCACCCTCCCCAGAGCAGTCACCTCTCAGCCTCCTCCTCCGTCACTTCCTTCCGCCTGAGCAGGCCTGTGGTGTCCCCCGTGTTGTTCTGGGTCTCGTGGCTTGTGCTGGAGACATTCTTCTGTGGCTTCCTGGAGCTGCTGTTCTCGTTGCCCTCACGGGTGGCAGCCTTGATGATGTTGCTAATAGGAAAGAAGAAGAGCAGCCCAGTCTCACTGCCCGGGGGAATAGCTATGCCCATGAGCAGCAGGGGGCTCATCCCGGGCTCTGAGCCTGGAAGGGATGCCCACAGGCCAGAGGCTGAGAGGAGGTGGCAGGTGCCAGGTCAGCCCGCCCGAGCCACGTGTTGGCCCCTTCCTACATCCTGACAAGGTTCCATCTGCTGGAATCTAGGGTAAGGGACTTTTTGCATTTGAAAAGTTGTCATTAAAATTACAGTTTACAATTTCTCAAAAGTCACTGTGTCCAGAGCCTGACAGTGACTCGAGAAACTGGAAGGGCCATCCTGACTCCAAGCGAGACAAGACTGAGAAGTGGCTGGGGATGAGGGACAGGACTCCTGCTGAGTCCAACCCACCGCCGTTGGGACGCCTGCTGGACTCTGGATGTGGCCAGTGACTTCCTCAGTGGGAACCACCCCGGTGTGAGCCCTGGGTGCACCTTACTGTTCCTCCCCAAGTCTGAGCTGTTTTCTCTCTGCCTAGGAAGCTCCCACAATGTGGAGCAGAGAAAGGTGGCACTAAAGACTGGGGAGTCCTGTATATGCTGCTGGTCCCAGTATTTTTTTTTTTTTTTGAGACAGGGTCTCCCTCTGTCACCTAGACTAGAGTTTAGTGGTACAATCATAGCTCACTGCAGCCACAACCTTCTGGGCTCAAGTGATCAACCCACCTCAGCTTTCCAAAGCACTGGGATTACAGGTGTGAGCCACTGTGTCTGGCCCAGTCCCAATGTGCATGTCCTGCCTGAGGTCAAACTCCAGGCCCCACAGCCTCCCTGAGTGGTCTTACTTGAGGGAGGGAGCAGTCTGGTTGGAGCTTTTGAGCGGGGGCGGTCTCTCTGAGGGTGTGTAGCAGTTGTGCACCATGCTGGTGACGCAGTTGCCCACGGCTCCCTTGTTGCTCCTGCCGAGAGAGAGGTAGGATACCTGAGATCCCAGTCATGCTCATGACACAGGCTAGGAGTGGACAAGGCCACTAGGCTCGCTGTGTACTTGTTAGGGTGTCATCCTGAGTATCCCCAAGGGTCCCCTCTCTGTGGGCAATGTCCTAACAGCAGAGCCCTGTTCTCAGGACAGGGAAAGCTCAATTCAGGGGACTTCTGTGGGGCAGGAAACAGAAACGAAGGCACAAACACTGAATGTGCCTATGATGGGAGAAGCAGCTCAGACCAACAGTCCACAGTCAATATCTAGAGCAGATTTACAGAAATAGAGCCCCAGGCACACATGACAGATGGAAGACATGCTTTTCTCCCCCGCCCCCCCCCCCACAGACCACCAGAAGGAATATATAGAACGGTATCAACACCGAGGTGGAAGGGATGGACAAAAAAGCATAAAAGGGACATCTACAAAGCTCGAAAAAGAGAAACAGAAGGGTCAGCAGAGGGTAACAGGGAAGTGAGAGAGGAGCCCAGGTACTGTGGGAAGGGGACACAAAGCCAGCTGGTTCCCAGGTCCCCCAGGAGGCATGCGGTTCTGCCAGTAGGGACAGGGTGCGGGGCAGAGGGGAGAGTCAGCTCAATCCTGTGTGAGATGTAACTTCTGGTCAGACCCCTCCTCCCTGGCACTGAATGGAGGCTGGCCCTACAGAGGGGCAGAGGTCATACACAGGTCCAGGACACCACACACCTCCCCTGTTCAGTGCAACTAGGGAGCCAGGAATCGAATCCCCTTGCAGAAGCTGGGGTTTCTTCTCTGAAGAGACTCAACAGCCCAGAGAAAGATCCCACAGACTCCCTCCCCTAGGTGGGGACCCAAACAATAGCCCAGTCCCTGCCCAATCACCCCAAAGGAAAGTCCTCAGACATAGGTTTCTATCAGCTGAGTCCCTTATTAAGTGCAGGAGATCAGCTGGTGGCTCTTGAAGCAAGCTATTCACTGATTTTCTTTTCTATTCTTTTATATGGTCTGGTCTGGCCATGAACAATACAGACACAGTCCCCACCCCAGGAGTTTCCAGTTGGCGGGTGTCTCAGGCATCTGTGGCCGGTTGTACCTGTTGTTAGCAGTGAAGTTGGGTGCCAGGACCATGGTACATTCTTTCCTCCGTGGGCCCGCTGGGGAGTCAAGGGCGCTGGAACTCCGGGCATTAGATGGCAAGGTGAAGCCCCTGGGCTGGTCATCCTGTAGGTCATACAGATGCCAATTCAGCCTGTGACCCCACCAGCACACACTCTAACAGTACACCCTTTCCTTATCTCATCCACACATGGGAGGAGCCCCCTGCTTCCCACACAAGGCAGAGGGGTTGGCCCAAGGATGCAGGCTTAAGATCAAATCTCGAACACACTCCCTGCATTTGGTGCAAAAGCAGCAAGAACAAAGAAGGAACCAGACCACAAACCCAATGGAGAGACAAAGATGCACAGCCTCACACTCGACCTTACCAGTACATTCCATGTGGCTCCCTGGTCATCAGGAGCTTTGCTGAGGCTACCTGACCTCTTCCTCCCATCGGGGCTGCCCTCAAAGAGCAACAGGAAATCTGCGGGCTCTGCTGGCCTGTGTCCGAGAGAAAATGGCACAGGAAAAGAGAGTCAATCAGACAGGAAGCCGACATAGAAACGCAGACAGGGCCACACCTGATGAGAGGACAGGTGGAGACACCAGCAAGGGATTCTGGTGGAGTGGCCTGGCGAAGGTCCTTGATGGAGTGAGGGCTTGGGATTTGGGGTGAGTTTCCTTTGGGAGCCTCAGTGAGTTTCATCAGCCACACTGATCACAGGTTTACGGGGACCGAGGGCCTGAAATACTATGGCTGTCTGTCACCGCCACACTTGTCCCTGTGAACAAAGTGCCAGCAGTTAACAGCTCAGGGAAGCATGGCTTCCAGCTGGCAGTTCAACCCCACCTGCTGCCCTGCCCATGGATGCCAGCTGCACCAAATGCAACTGATTGGTAGGAATCAATCTGTGGTCCATCCATGTGGTGGAATACTATTCCACCAAAAACAGGCATGAAGCACTGACACATGCTACAACATGAATGAACTTGAAAACATGCTTAGCCAAAGAAGCCAGATACACAAGGTCATGAGTATGATCAGTTACAGGAAACATTCAGAAAAGGCAAATCCACAGAGATAGAAAGCAGATTAGGGGTGGGAAAATAGAGAGTGACTGGCAGTGGATAAGGGGTTTCCTTTAGGGTGATGAAGATGTTTTAAAATTGATTGTGGTTAGAGTTGTACAACTCTCTGAATATACTAAATATCACTGAGTTGTACCTTTTATATAGGTGAATTGTATGGCATGGAAAGTGTTTCTCAAAGCTGTTCAGGAAAAAAACAGTTTAGTTAGGTGCACTTGACCCTAAGCGGTCATCCAGGCTCTGCCTGGAGAGAGTAGGTGTGGTACTTGGCGGGCTTGTCTATGAGCAGGTGCAGCCAGCAAATAGCAGTCCCACAACCTGAGGGCTCCTCGTGGTGCTGGCCCGGTCTCTGACCATGGGATGATGATGTTCCTTCCCGGCCTATCACACCATCACCAAGAGGACCACACCCATGGTTCTAAGGCTAGGACCCTCTCACAACCGCACCACTGCCCCAGGAAGAGGCCAGGCCCTGAGACACTGGACACCATGTTCCATGTAGACAGACTGCAGAGGAGACTGCACAGTTGCCTGACAGATTCACAAAGGCACTGTAAATGCAACCCTCATCTATGGAAAGGAACATCCCAGTAAACTCTTCCTTCACCTGGCCAAGGGGGGAGCGTGTCACATGAACTGGGAGAGGAGACAAAAATCCAGAGTTAACAGGGAAGAGATAAACCTGCTTTGATTTGCAGACAATGTGGTTCTCTACCTAGAAAACGAAAGAGGCTCTGCAAACTACAATATGATACAGTCAAGCAAGGGGGCTACACTCAGGCACAGCATACAGGAACTACGAGCATTCCTCCAGTCAGCAAGAACCCAACTGAATATGGGACAGAAAATAAGACCCACTCACAATGGCAAGGGCAACTGTAAGTTCCAAGAACTAACAAAAAGTTCACAAGACCCCATGCACAGGCTCGCCAGAAGAACATGAAAAACCACCAAGGCAGGGAGGCGCACGTTCACAGAAAGGCAGGCCCTGCGGATCCAAATCCCTCAGGTTTAGTTTTAGTGAAACTTGGAGTGAATCCAAAATTCACATGGAGGAACAAAGGATGTGAGAAGCGAAGATTCCGAAGAACAAAGTGAGAATCTTGAACACTCATCATCCTAGAAAGTGAGAATTGGTGGAGAGGCATAAAATCAGTGTGGGGTCAGCACAGAGAGATGCAGGGGCATGGAGTATGAATAGAGAGCTCAGAGCTACCCTTGTCCACATCCACGGTCGCTGTCCACCCAGGCAATCAAACACTGGGCACCATGCTGAAAAACAACGCAGACACTGCTCCACTCCACACAGAGATGTGTGAGGACAGCATTTCTTTTTTTGTTTGCTTGTTTTTTGAGTGAGATTCTCGCTCTGTCGCCCAGGCTGGCGTGCAGTGGCACAATCATGGCTACTGCAGCCTCTACCTCCTGGGTTTGGGTGATCCTTCTGCCTCAAGCCTCCCGAGTAGCTGGGACTACAAGTGTGTACCACCGCGCCTGGCTAATTTTTTTGAGTTATTGTAGAGACAAGGTCTCACCAAGTTCTCCAGGCTGGCCTCAAACCCCTGAGTTCAGGCAATCCTCTTGTCTCTGCCTCCCAGAACCAGCATGGGGAAGAGACTAGAACTAAAGTGGAAGAGAGACCAGAATCACCGTGGAGGAGAGACCAGAACTAACATGGAAGAGAGATCAGAACCAATGTAAGGGAGAAACCAGAATCAATGTGGGAAGACATCGGAACCAATGTGGAGTAGAGACCAGACCAGAATCAACATGGAGGAGAGATCAGAACCAATATGGGGAAGAGACCAGAACCAACAAAGAGGAGAGACTGGAACCAATGTGGAGGAGAGACCAGACCAGAATCAACATGGAGGAGAGATCAGAACCAATATGGGGAAGAGACCAGAAACAACATAGAGGAGAGACCAGAACCAATGTAGAGGAGAGACTGGAACCAATGTGGAGGAGAGACTAGAACCAACGTGAGGAAGAGACCAGAACTAACACGGGGAAGAGACCAGAACCAATGTGGAGGGACCAGAACCAACGTGGGGAAGAGTCCAGAAACAACATGGAGAAGAGATCAGAACCAACACGGGGAAGAGACCAGAACCAAGTAGGGCAGAAACTAGAACCAATGTGGAGGAGAAGAGATCAGAACCCAACATGGGAAGACACCAGAACCAACATGGAGGAGAGACTAGAACCAACGTGGGGAAGAGACCAGAACCAACATGGGGAAGAGACCAGAACCAATGTGGAGGAGGGACCAGAACCAATGTGGGGAAGAGTCCAGAAACAACATAGAGAAGAGACCAGAACCAACATGGGGAAGAGACCAGAACCAAGTAGGGCAGAAACTAGAACCAATGTGGAGGAGAAGAGATCAGAACCCAACATGGGAAGAGACCAGAACCAACATGGAGGAGAGACTGGAACCAACGTGGAGGAGAGACTGGAACCAACGTGGGGAAGAGACCGGAACCAACATGGGGAAGAGACCAGAACCAATGTGGAGGAGGGACCAGAACCAATGTGGGGAAGAGTCCAGAAACAACATGGAGAAGAGATCAGAACCGATGTGGAGGAGAGACCAATGTGGGGAAGAGACCAGAACCAATGTGGGGCAGAGACCAGAACCAGGGTCTCACCGGAGAGAAAGCCAGCTCACCATGATGGGCATCGGAAAGGAAACCATCTCCAGAGTAACCAGAAAACACAAACATGAACCACACACACGTCACATCACACGCTGCACACACATAGCACATACATCACACACACTGTACACACACACTACATACTACATCACACACACATACCACACACCACATACCACACAAACACATACATCACACATACCACATATCACACACAACACACACCATACAACACACATCACACACCATACAACACACATCACATACACACCATACACCCCATAAGCCACACACACACACTATAAACCACACACATACATATCCCATGCCCCCCCACACACATACACCAGACATCACAGATATACAAACATCACACACTTCGTATGCACATAGTCCACAAATATTTGCTCCACACACACATCACATACACACTGCACAGACACTCCCACATTATCAAACACAGAGCGCACACACACACATAGACAGGCACTATACATACAGCAGAGACACATACAGACACATACACCACACACACACATACCACATGCAAATTCAAACATGCCACACCCACCTACCATACATACCACACACCACACATATATACATAACATACAACACACATACCACACCCACTCACCAAACATACCACACATGTATCAGACATACACACATCTTCCACACATCCCCCACATACCATATACAAACACATACACACCCCACACACAATACATATACTGCATATACATCATACACACAACCACACGACACATACACCACATTCATACTCAAATATACCACACATACCATACACACATGTAACACATACAATACATATCACGCACATACGCACAACACACATACAACACATACTCACCATACACACTACACATGTATCAGACATACACACACCCTCCACATATAACCCAAATACCATACACAAACACATATACACTCCCCACACAATACACATATCACATGTATACTCTTACTTACAACATACCATACACACATCCTCCATACATACATCACATACACCATACACACATGCTCCACCTGCCACATGCAGACACACACACCACATATCACACACATACACCACACACACTCACACCATACACACATCACATACATCAAGACATACACACACACCTCTACCACACATACCCTACATACCCACACACACTCACTACACATACCACACACTCACACACAGATCAACACACACACCACAGGCGCACAGACATACTCTCCCCACTACATACACAACACCCAGCAGTGACATGAGTGGCCATCCACTGCCCACCCGGAGATCCTGCACTCTCAGGGACATCCCCAGGGAAAGGCTAACTCATCTCAGCAAGAACCTGCTGCTGCCCTCTGCTGGTGATGCCCTCTACTGAGAGGGCCCTGCTCCAGGGCCTGTGGTCACTTGTGTGGTGGGACCCTGGGACACCAGCCGCTGCTCGTGCTTATCCATACCCCGCCCTTGGCCAGCAGAACTCAACCTTCTATAGACACGCAGCCTCAGGGAGTGGGAGGGTGCTGGCCGCCACCAACTACACTGCCCCCATAGTCTCACTGGCCTGGAGGTTTGGAGTCCGCAAGGGACAGGGGCAAAGTTTAAAGGCGTGAAGGCAGGAAAAGGCTCATGGGGAGTTTGGCGACAACAGCGTTGCTGCCTCTCATGAATGACAGACTTGAACATTAAAGGGCAGGTGGAAGCCGGGCTCGATGGCTCAGCCTGTAATCCCACACTTTGGGAGGCTGAGGTGAGTGGACTGCCTGAGCCCATGGGTTCGAGACCCGCCTGGGCAACTTGGCAAGACCTCATCTCTACAACAGATCAAAAATTAGCCAGGCGTGGTAGCGCGCGCCTGTAGTTCCTGCGACTTGGAAGGCTGAGTCGGAAAGGATCGCCGGAGCCCAGCAGGTTGAGGCTGCGGTGGCCGGGAGCGGCCACTGCACTCCAGTCTGGGCGACAGAGCGAGACTCCAACCCAAAAAAAAAAAAAAAAAAAAAAAAAAAAGGCAGGTGGAGATGCTGCAGCAGAAAGACCCGAGGCCTAGACCCTGAGGCACCAGGTTCCCAGCACCCCAGAGAAAGCAACAAAGCGGGGAAGGCATAGGCAGGAGAGCCGTCCTGGCCTCCCTGGCCCTCCCAACCCCAACTTCAACAAAGGAGACAAAGGGCCCGTGTCAAAGTCACTCCAAGCCCCCATGTCCAGCCAGCGCCCATGACTGAAGAAGCTGGAAGAAGGGCTGACACAAAGCCAGGAGAGGAGCGACCGGGGTACCTCAGATGGCCGGGGTCACCTAGGGGGCCGGGATTACCTGGGGGAGCCAGCCCGAGGCTGGTTGACCTGCGTGGTACTGTTGGATCTTCGAAGGTTGTTGATGGCACGGGAGCCCCCAGACCCTGTGACCTCCTGCAGAAAAGGAGAAGACAGCTCATAAAATGGCAGAGTACCATACACTCACCAGCTCACTCAGTACCAAGCCAGGCCTTGAAGAAATACAGAGGACAGAGGATGTCCTGGGAACACAGTGGGCCAGGCGGCCCTGAAGGCAGCAGGAGGTCAGAGGGGCAGGGACACAGGACAGGAAAGGCAGCATGAAGGGTGCTGGGCATGGCCTACCAAGCCCAGAGGCAGATCGCTGACCACTGTGAGCCTCACCTTTCTCCCCAAAGTGGAGCCCTTCACCCTGGCAGGGTGCAAGGATGCAAAAGGCCATGTGAGAGGCCTGGCCAGGAGCACCGCCGTAGCACAACCAGCAAGCTCCCTGAGAGCAGGCTGGCTGCCACTTCTGCAGACACTGGGAACACCTGGGCCCCTCTACCCATACCTCTGTCAGGCAAGAGACCACCAAGAGCAGCTCTGTGGGGTTGTTGTTAGGACTAACATGATGCAATCACAAAACAGGTGCTAGAGGATTTAGGAGGAGGGCATTGCTGACTTCTAAACAGCTCAGTTGGTCGAGCACAGTGGCTCATGCCTGTAATCCCAGCATTTTGGGAGGCCAAGGCATGATAATTGCTTGAACCTAGGAGTTTGAGACCAGTCTGAGCAACATACTGAAACCTCATCTCTACAAAAAATTAGCCAGGTATGGTGGTGAGTGCCTATATTCCCAGCTACTCGGGAGGTTGAGGTGGGAGGATCACCTGAGCCCAGGAGGTCGAGACTGTTATGAGCTGTGATTGTTGTGATCACGCCACTGTACTCCAGCCTGGGCGACACACTGAGACCCCAACTCAAAAGAAATAAATAGATAAATAAACAGCTTAGTGAAGTGGGGTAGGAACATCCAGGAGATAAAAAGAAGCAATCACAGTCAACATAAAGGATGGGAGGGTACTGGTGCACATGCCCTACTCTTCAACTTTCTGTGGGTTTAGAAATCCTCCAACCCACAACCCAAGTATCTGGGGACCAGGGCTCACAATCCAGTAGGAAACAGCCCAGGAATACCACCTCGACCATCAGTCAGACTCAATCCTGGCTGAATGGCCACACCACCACAGCGTGGGGGACCTCAAGTCTCCTGAAGTTTCCCAGGAAGACAGTCCCACAAACCTTCATATTTACTTCTAAAATCTGAATCCTTAAGCTAAATACACACAATCCAAACAAAATAAGACAAAAAACAAAACCGAGAGCCCAGTCCTATGTATGGAATCACACTTGGGACATCTGTCACAAGTATTCCCCCATCGTGGAATTATTTTCTAAAACGGGGACAGGGAAAGCGCATGCAGGGAGGCCAGCCTGGCAGCAGCATAGACGGTCAGAGGAAGCCAGGCAGAGACCACTGCAGGATCCAGCGGTCTGGAACCATAGAAGTGAATGAGCGTGACCACTGTCTAGGGAAAGGGTTCATGGCCTTGATCACACCTTCCAGGCCAGATTACAGTGACTACCAGAAAACAACCTAAAGCTCAGTTCAAAAAGCAGCTCCTAGTCTCCCTGCTGGTGACACACAGGTTCAGCGCAAGTCCTTACTAAAATCCCAGTCAGGCTGTGCACTCAGGGCCCAGAGCCTGACACTGAGAAAGGGTTTAGGGAGGACGGAAGGTAGGCATGGGGGACAGAGTATGGACAGTGTCTGAGGGCTTTGGGTAACAGAAAGCTGAGAAAAGCCAACAGCAGAGGGTCCAGGGGAAGCCGTGATTCTTCTCAGAAAAGTGAGACAAGCCGAGCTCAGTGGCTCAGCCTGTAATCCCGCACCTTTGGGAGGCTGAGGTGAGTGGATTGCCTGAGCCCGCGGGTTCGAGACCTGCCTGGGCAACTTGGTGAGACCTCATCTCTACAATAAATAAAAAATTAGCCGTGCGTGGTAGCGCACACCTGTAGTTCCGGCTACTTGGAAGGCTGGGGCGGAAGGATCGCCAGAGCCCAGCAGGTCGAGGCTGCAGTGGCCGGGAGTGGCCACTGCACTCCAGTCTGGGCGACGGAGTGAGACTCCAACTCAAAAAAAAAGAAAAGAAAAGTGAGATGACTTCTGGGAAGGCTGAGCATGGTGCCCATCAGACAACAAGTACTCAAGAGTGCACCCCTCTAGCCGGGTTCGGTGGCTCAGCCTGTAATCCGCGCCTTTGGGAGGCTGAGGTGAGTGGATTGCCTG